GAGCACCTGCCCATTTTAGTGCTACTGTGCGCAATTACTTGGACCAAAGAGCGCTGGATAGGCCGAAGAGGTCTTATCGCATGGCCTCCCCGGTTACCAAATTTATCTTCGCTTGACTTTTTTTTATAGGGGCATATATGAAAACTCTCATTTATGAGACACCTATTGAAACAGAAGCAGAATTGGTAGCTCAAATTACTGCTACATATCAGGTTCAGAATATTCCTGCAATCTTCGAGCGTGTGAGACAATCAATGTTTCGACGATGTCATCTTTGTGTTGGAGTAAATGGAGGAATTTTTGGACATTTATTGTAAATTGAGCTAATCAATTGCGCATTTTTGTTCCGTTCTTTTGTTCATTGTTTTTTTGAAGATTGAAATATAAATGTGTAATTGAAATAAACTTAATTTTTCCACTTATATGTTTGTCTTTTATTAAAATCATAAAATTCCTATTTTGTACCCTGTAGTATTAAAACGAAGCGTCGTAGAGAAAAACATTATTAACAAAATATGTTCGTTTTTATATCCTCTATTTCCCTTCACAGTTTGTCGGTCTAATTTTTTTACACCCTGTACACACACACACACAGGGTGTCTGACTCGTACCGTAGCAGAGTTAATATATATCTAGAATAGGTCGGGGTGAGTAATGGAATTGGTATCTTTTTTTAAACAACCACTTGAAATTTTGAGATATTAACAATGAAACATTTTTACCGAGCGGCAGCCTACTGGCCAATCAGCCAGTATATGCGCTGCGGTGAGACAAACGCTGTACGCGCTGTACCATCGGCATGACAGACTAGCTGGCTCAGCCTCCTAGCAACGCGTTTTTGTCGTTACTAGGGGGCTGGGCCGGCTAATCTGTCATGCCGATGTTACAGCGCGTACAGCGTTCGTCTTACTGCAGCGCTTGTGCTGATTGACCAGTGGGCTGCCGCTCGGTAGAAATCTTTCATTGTTAAAATATCAAAATTTCACGTGGTTGTTTAAAAAAAGACACCGATTTCATTACTCATCCCAACCTATTCTAACTATATATTAGCTCCGGTACGGTATGAGTCAGACACCCTATATATACATGGTGTTTCACTTTAAGTGAAATGGCCGACTATCTCGCGAATCGATGATTTTATTGAAAAATTTTTCCAACGAAAGTTGCATGGCTTGAAGGGTGACACATGATGAAAATGTGGACTTGACCTTGAGTGACCTTGTCAAAATCAGGTCAAGGTCATTAATGTCTTTTTAAATAAAAATTCCTATTTTTTACTACATATTCTTGTAGCTTATCGCGAGAGTTTTCCAAAACACTATAATAAAGTTACGTTTCATTGAGTACTTTCCGAGTTATGGAGTTTGAAAGTTATAGTACCGCCGGTGTTATCCATGTACGCATGCGCGTGTGAGCGGGATTTTTACGCGCGCGCGTCTGCGCGATCTATCCGTATATGCTTGACATACGCTCACGCATGGAATTGAGTCAAATTCTTCCCAATTGAACGATTCAACTTTCCTTTTTTTTTCGTATAGCTTTTTCTTTTTATTTTTTTACTTAGTGGGCTACTAAGTTTTTAGGCTAGAGTATTTTTACTAAGTGTGCTTTTTCAAAGTTTTTTTTAAATTGGTCTCTTACAGTTAAAATGAAATCGTTGATATTATTCTTGTGCTTGGTGAAGCTGGACGAAATTATTGTACAGCAGAAAGATTGTATCGTAATAGATATCCGTTTAGACGACATCCAAATGCAATGCAGATAAGAAGAATTTTATTACGAGAGCGTAGAAGAATCCGTAAGAGAAACCGCAAGCAAATAAATACTGAAGATGACGTTAATAATCCGCGTGTATTAGCATTACTAGCAATGATAAACTTGAATCCTCATATTTCGACTAGAGAACTGCAGCGTAATTTAGGAATTCCTTATGTCACTGTGCGGAGGATTTTACAAAGACATAAATTCCATCCCTATCATATCACTTTAACCCAAGATGTAAGTGAAAATAATACGAGGCTAAGAAGACAATTTTGTCGTTGGACATTACGAATGATAAGAGAAGATCCAACTTTTTCCAGTATGTTCTCTTGAGTGACGAAGCCTCGTTTCATAATAATGGGCAACTCAACTGGCATAACTGTATTTATTGGTCCACATACAATCCTCACTGTACTCAACGTGTTGTTAATCAACATCGTTGGAGTTTAAACACTTGGTGCGGAATTATAAATGGATATTTGATTGGTCCATACTTTTTTGATAATCGCTTAAATGGGGAAACTTACCTTTCTTTCTTGCAGAAAAAATTGTCTGAGCTTTTAAAAGAGGTTGATCTTGCTACTTGACAAAAAATGTGGTGGTAACAAGATGGTGCGCCATTCCATTCTCATCATATTATGATGGAATACCTCAATAATACCTTTCATGAAAGATGGATAGGGAGGTACGGATATATTCGATGGCCTCCACGGTCTCCTGATTTAACTTCGTGTGATTTTTTTTGTGAGGCTACATAAAAAATATTGTTTACAAAACTCCGCCGACATCTGTAGAAGACATGAAAAATCGAATAACTAATGTTTGTCGTAGCATTCCTCAAAATATTTTAATTTCAATAGTAGAAAATTTTGAGAAACGGTTGAGACTGTCTGCAAGAAAATGGAGCTCCATTTGAACATCTTATCAACGGCTAAAGACGTATTCGATTTAATCTTGCTTTAGTTGGCCGGATCAGTGATCGGTCTTGCTTTAATTAGTCGGATCAGTAATCGGTCTTGCCTTAGTTGACTGGATCAGTGATCGGTCTTGTCTTAGTTGGCCGGATCAGTGATCGGTCTTGCCTTAATTTTCAAGCTCTATAACTCGGAAAGTACTCAATGAAACGTAACTTTATTTAGTGTTTTGGAAAGCTCTCGCGATAAGCTACAAGAATATGTGATAAAAATAGAGTTTCCGTTTAAAAAAACATTAATGACCTTGATTTGATTTCGACAAGGTCACTCAAGGTTAAGTACACATTTTCATCATGTGTCCCCCTTCAAGCCATGCAACTTTCGTTGGAAAAATTTTTCAATAAAATTATCGATTCACGAGATAATCGACCATATCAGTTAAAGTGAAACACCCTGTATATACTATAAGATAGGGTTACTTTGTGACTGTAGGGGTTACTTTGTGACACAGTGACTGTTGGTCAATAGTGATAAAGTGCTTCCGGCTGCAGCCCATAAATGGCATTGTGTGTTGGACAAGATTTTGGCGCAAATTTTAGCTTTCCTCCCTTATAGAGATATCATACTAAGAATCATTGATAATTACTTATTATCCAGTATTTTTAATACTAAAAATAAGTAATTATCAATGATTCTTAGTATGATATTTCTATGAGCTGTTATCATTGTCATGGAGTGAGATTTAAAATACAAAAAAATGTCACTGTGTCACAAAGTAACCCCATCTTATAAGAAGATAAGGAACAAAGTAACCAATATAAGGTATATAAAAAGATAAGGAATAAAATAACCAATATATTCATTGCAAATTATACTTATTTACTATATTTTTGGAAATTCAAGTTTTAGTTGTGCATTAAAGTAACCAATCAAAATCAGTATGGCAGTCATTTGTTAACACTTTCAATGCTAATCTAATCATTTATATCTATTTACGAAGATTTTTGTAGAAAGTATTGAAAGTATTAATTAACTCGTATACCATGCTATCGTATGTTTGTTGTTATCAGTCATCAATCTTCCGTACTGCTTCAGTTATCCGAATTACAACCTGCGGCGCTACTGGCAGAACAGGTCCGACTGCTGAGCAGTGCGCTGAAGAATACAATGGAACCGACGTGGAACTGATCATACCATCGCCGATATCGGAGCAGGAGGTCACGCCGGCCCATAATCTGAGCGGTATGCAACGGTGGACAGCGCCTCGCGGCGAATACTATACGTTAGTACGAATAATTTATGATATGTTGCGTAAAAGACTACTGTCGCGATTTGCTCGACAAATAAATTAATCTCTGAAAACAGTCTGATCGTGGTCGGGGCACGTGGTGGAATGGGCTCCGGCGGCATGGGCACTACTTTCGGTGCTCTTGTTCGTGGTGTAATCGAGCTACAGAAGGGTGACCAATTGTACTTCATAGTGGGTCAAGAAGGAATGAATGCGTGTGCTAAGGTAAGTTGTCAAGAGAGATGATTTATTGAGATATTATGTTAATTGCCACGTTGATTTTTATTGATTATTCCACTTATTAACAATGCCGAAATATTTAAATCTTTAATTCAAATTTGAATCTTCAAAGATATAGTAAAGCAATTTATACTTCCTATCGAGCGATGAAAATATTTCCGGACGATTAAATATCTCGCAAACAATACATTTTAAAAAAACAATGTTTCCTATAAAAGTTGTAAAGTTTTAAGAGATCTGTTTGATTGTATTATTCCAGCGAATCTTTCTGCTTCTTAAGCTCTTGGGGTCTACAATAAGCCATTAAACTTAAGCTTTTAAGTTTGAAACTTTAAGAAATTGACCAATTACTATTAGTTATTTTCCTTATATTTGACTGTGATTTCTTACAGCTTCAGGCTTAAAGCTTAAATTTTATGGCTTAAGTTCTCATTGCAGATCTAATTTTATGGAAATTTTATAAAATATCTTAAGTAAAAATGAAGTTATATAACATCTTTTTGGAAAGCACATAAAAATAAGCAAGTTTTGTCTAAAATATTATTCGTTATCAAATATTTTTTAAGATATACAAGGTAATTGTTACAATGCGTGTGATATGAGTATACAAAAAATTACGAGTCAATGGAATACCTCGTATAAACAATATATTTTTTAAATAAAATATTTACTACAAAATTGTAAGATATAAAAACTTTATATAACTTTTGTTTTAAAAAATATATTGTTTTAAAAAAATGTATTGTTTTAAACATATTGTTTTAAAAAATGTATTGTTTACGCAATATTCAATCGTCCCGGAACATTACCACCCTGTATATCCATTAGTTCGTTTCATTGGTTCCCTCCATCAGTTATTCTAGTAACTGGATTAACAAGAGACATTCCGCAACGCGAAAATTTAAAAAATCTGAAACTTAGCAGAATTGTAGATCAGAAAACCTGATAACAAAACAATTTTTTATTGGTACCCGTTTTTAGTTTTAGAGGTAAAAACAGCCCCTTGAAAGAAAACCAGTACGTATATCTATAAGCAAATATTATCTGAACTATTAGCGATATGTAAAAATATTTACAATAAAAGTTTCATAATTTTGATAACACTTTATGCGAAAACATTTTAAAATTTTTTAAAAATTTTATATTTTTTTGAAAATACCACTTACATATTTTTTCCAACATTTGAGATTCGTTTTGTGACGAAATTAAAGCTTATTTTATATTAAATTCAGTCATATATAATAAAATTATATTATTGGGAAACGCATATTTAAAAAATAAATTAAAAGCAGCTTTATACGCATGTTACCCGTATCACTCTTAAGCCGGCATCAGACTATTGTTGGTTGGATTGCGATTATTTGGCTTCAGTGATCTCGAGTTTATCGAGAAATATTAGCCTTTGTCGTTACAGATTTTTTTGTTAAACTGTGTTATCAATTATAAATAGAAATATATTTTTACATAGAATTATATTACAACAAAAAAATACAGCAGTAAAATAAATAATTGCACTAATATATTATAAGCAATTGACTACTTATGAAAATAAGTATCCTTACAAATAATCCAACAAATATCTAAAATATATTTCAGGGATATCGTATATTCGGGAAAAGAAGATTATATATAATTATATATGATTATATATGAATTTTGTCCATATAAGTGACATTATATATGATCATATCTAATTATATATGTCTATATATAAAACGAAAATTATCAAATAAAAAAGGAAAACATAATTTGATTCGATTAAACGTCGACATCATAGGCTACCATAAACAATTAAAAACAAAGCATTTATTTAAATTGTATCTTCACAATAGTATTCTTTTCAATGTCGACATATATAATTATACATGATCATATATAATCATATATGGATAAAATTCATATATAAACTTTTTTTTCCTGGGTAGATATGATATCTATAGGATATTCTAAGATATATTTTATGGTACTTATTCTGTATGGATTTACATTAGTGGATGCATAATAAAATAATTATTACCAAATTATTACGCATTGTATGTCTTTTTATTATTGTCTATAATATGTATAAACTCTAAATAATATTTATACCAGGTGTAGAAGTATGAAACCGGAATTTTTTTATACAAATAAGACGTCTGTTGTTCGAAAGTGATAAATAATACTTTATTCAAAATAATTTCCACTGTTTTGAACACATTTTTCCCACCTCTCTGGCAGTTTATGAATGCCGTGCCAAAAAAACTTTTCATCTTTTGAAGCGAACCAGTTATCTAGCCATTTTTCCACATTTTCATACGAATCGAAGCGTTGGTTAGCGAGAGCGTGTCCTAGCGATGCGAACAGGTGATAATCGGACGGAGCCAAGTCTGGAGAATAAGCCGCATGCGGTAGTAATTCCCAACTGAACGACTCGATCGTTTCCTTGACCCGTTTTGCTGTATGTGATGGGGCATTATCATGGAGCAAAATGACATTGTGTTGCCTTTTTGCATATTCTGGTCGTTTTTTAGTCAATGTTCGATTTAAATCGATCATTTGTTGTTGGTAGCGATTAGTATTGACGGTTTGACCAGGTTTCAGCAGTTCATAGTTCATAGTTCATAGTTCATAGTTCTTCGTTCCTCACGTCAAAATCACCACTTTTGAATTTTTTAAACCACTCGAAACACTGAGATTTACCAAGAGCATATTCACCGTAAGCTTCGACAAGCATTCGATGTGATTCTGCAGCAGTTTTCTTTAAATGATAACAGAAAATCAATGCTGTCCGCAAATCATAGTTAGTAGGCTCGAAACGTGACATGTTTAAGGTTATACAAAAATATACTAGAGAATGAAAGTTGGGGTTATGTTTGTTGACAATATTCGTCAGCTGTTAGGAGAATATAATAGCGCGGCAGTAGCGGTCTTACGGTCACTAAACTGAACGCTGGCACCATTTATAGGGGAATTCCGGTTTCATACTTCTACACCTGGTATATGGTAAATATCCCAATAGCCGGACATTTAAGGGCGTAATGGTATAATTGTTTAATTTTATAAAATTATATAATATTTAATAATGTAAATATATAATTAATTAAAAGCTGAGACTTTAAGTATTATTAAAATATAAAAGACAGTAAAATTATCAGAATTATTTAAAACATAATCAAAATTTGTAAGAGTAGGAATATACAATATTCGAATAATATTCCTATTGCTAAACCCATTTGACCCAATATCCGAACATAATAAATAAAATAAAATTACAAATAAAATCGTCATATTTTGATTAATTTTTTTTATTTTTATCGTTTTTCATGTCTTCCAAAGCAGCATTTTGTGTATATGACTCGTCCTTTTGTGTATATGACTTTTTTCTTATGTTTTTTGGCATATTTATGATCCTGTAAAAAAGTTATAATTCATACGGTATTAATGCAAGTAACACTGCGAGGTTATATTTTAGAGGCTATATCCCTAGTAGAGCACAGTTTATTGTGCCAATATTGGCAACGCGTTGAATTCCCAATATTGGCTCACCATTACAAAGTAGACCCCAAGAATTTTATAGCCACCCACATAGCACGTAATATTACAGTAATTTTACAATATCACAATAATATTTTATATTATAATGTAATATTACAGTAATATTATTGATATGTTACTTTGTAATATTGCACAGTAATATTATAGTAATGTTGTTGTATAATATATTAAATCCTAAATAGCAAGATAATGTCAAATAACATTTTCATTACGTCATTAAAATATTATTAAAACGTCATGTAATGTTATATGGCACGTAATCGTATTGAAGTATGAATAATATATTTCAAAGGTAATATATTATTTTGTAATATGACAAATATCTTTTGTTAATATTATTCACAAGAGGAACTTCCTCTCTTCAGATCACTGATTTTGTCGAACTTTTAATGGAATATAATATTGGTATAGAAGTAACAAACGCTATTTGGGAATTATTCTCAACCGTTTACGAGAAATTGCGGTTTGAAATTTAACAAGTTCTCTTACTTCTATTATAGTAGAACAGGTATCGAGCAGCGGCGTAGCGCAGCGAACTAGGCGCTACGCTACAAGTCTGAACGTTAAGTTCCGAGTTGGTTCGAATCCAATTCCAGTTAAGTTTTCTTTTTTATACAGTTCTTTATTGGTACGAATAAAAATATATAACATATACAATAAGATGCAGACAAATCCTTTATACAATCGAACATTTTTATTATAATAATGATTGTGATATATTATAATAATATTACTGTAATGCGTTTTCGCGGACATTATAATATTACTGTGATATCTCAGTAATATTACAGTAACATTTCTGCTACATTTCATTGTAATATTGCAATGGAAATGTGATATTACTGTAATATTACTGTAATATTACGTGCTATGTGAGCAATATTGGATTCCCAATATTAGACCAATATTGCATTTCAATTATTTAGCCAATATTGAATTCCCTATACTGGGCCAATATTGGATTTTAAGTAATGGACCAATATTGAATTCTGAATATAGCATCTGTATTAAATTCCGAATATTGGGCTAATATTGGCAACACACTGAATTCCCAATATTAGCTCATTATTACAAAGTAGACTCCTAGAATTTTATAGCCAATATTGTATTCCCAATATGAGACCAATATTGCATTCTAATTGTTTGGTCAATATTGAATTCCCTATACCGGACCTCTAGATTATAAGTCTGTTGCTTTAGGCACTACACCACTTCTTCGATCGATATAAACATTTTGTGCATTTTG